AGCGCGGCGGGTCAACGGCCGGCGGCGGCGGCGGCGGCGCTCTAGCAGGCGGAGGCTCGTCGCTCGCCGGGCGTCGCAGTCTCCGAGCCGGGCCTCTGCTCGCCGTCCCTCCCCGTCGCCCCAGGCTCTAACTGTCCCGCGCCCCCGGCCGTCTGTAGCCGGGAAGGCCCTCCGCCAATGAGGTTACACCTGTGTGGGTGCTGGGTCACGGTGTTAAAGTCGACCGCGAAATCGTCTCGCGCGGGGGGAGTTTTTCGGTGGACGTGATGACGTTTCAATTGTCAGCGAGGAAACGATTGTCTCACAGCTCAATCAGTGGAATGCGGGGAAGGAAAATCCCCAGGTTCGCCTTACGCGAAGTGACTCTCCTCCTCGTCTGGCATCTTTGTCGTGAAAAGTTTTTACGCAGCGCTGCTAATGCGGTTGAATGAAGAGCCAAGTGTGCGTTTGTAGGTTCTGACCCGCCGCAGCGGGGTTTCTATGGAAAGCGCAAGACCGGCTGTCGGAGCCAGGGTGCCAGACCGGCTGGCGAAGTGCTGGGAAAGTGTTCCTCGGATGCGAGCGTCATCGCGTAGCCAGCGTGCGAACGGACTGCCTGTAAGTAACGCACTTGACGGGGTGTCTCTAATCATCGATCTCTAATCGTGCGGAAAATTAGTTCGGTTTTCCTTAATCGACGGCCTTTTTGGAACCAGACACAGGAGATGTGGAAAGGAAAGTTTACGCTAATTGTACGCTTTAATTTGGCTGTGAGATCGGAAGTACGGGATTTCCAGAGGCTCTCAAACCAAAGGTGGTTGGGTTTTTGTAGGCCATCCAACTGTTGTAAGTGGTGTCACTGCCAGTCGAATCGAACGAGTTCGAATCGTCCGGAGCAATTAGCAAAGGTCGGAAATCCCCCCTTCCCGGACTTGCTCCGTTTTTGTGCTTCGCGTTTTTGTCGGCAATGGTCGGCATCTGCGCCACTCACTAGAGACAAGACTCGACTCAAGATGTTAAATGTCTGTGTTGTTATGTTCAATTGTATGCATATTGACGATGACTGTGTAATTCTAATGTCCAAACGCCAACCTGAGAACGCATTGAAGGCAAGCCTTGCATGATTAAACGAGTGACTACGATTATCCCCAAATGCAAGTGGGAATGTGAAAACGTGAAGTGTGTGGTTTCCGTTTACTCTCAAGACACGTGAAACATCCAAAGACCGTTTATATATGTGTGTGAGTGAATGGGGTGTGGCGGTTCACCGCTATCTGAGACTGAGATTTTATCGTTTCCTTTCTGTCCCAAGCAGACTTCTTCATTCATGAAACAATGCCCTTCCACAGGATGTTCTTTGACGTATTTTTAGATACCTTCCTCTTGCAGAGAACTAACATATTCATCACACTTAAGACAAGAGTTTTTCCGTTATGACAGTGATAAGTTATTTTTTTCATGAAGCACTCAGGTTATTATAACGAATCTTAATAAAATACCTTACCCTCCTCGGTGTTGTAGGTCAGTATTTTGACACATGAGCAATTACGGATCAATAACTAGCAGTTAAATGAATTGATACGGTTTAGTAATTTGTTATTCAAAACACTATTTTTTATCATACGTTGTGTAAATTACTGTTCCAACAAATAGTGATTGAAAAACTAATATCTCAAAAGAAGGGTGATCTCTTAGTAAATAAATATATTTGCACACAAGTGTAATCTACAAACAAAGGGTTCAATACGTGTCTCTTACTCATTTTTTACAGTTTCAATAGTGTAATATGTCCTTCTATGGAAAAGCAGTATAATAACATTTCTAATAATATTATTCACGTGTGCTTTGAACTCATTTACTTGACAGAGGAGTGATTCTGTTACATCGTTGAGAAGGGAAGGGAGATTTTTTCCTCTACCCTTGTAGCGCTCGTCACATGTTTCTCGTGAACTGAGGCGCCAATGTTCTTCTCCGTGGCACGCCGCTACTGGAAAACACAGAACAGTTATTTCAATTTGTCTACCTCGCGTGACCAATTTTCATAAGCAACCTCCGGAATTTGGCCGTCTTCCACATTTTACGGAAGTTTCGGAAGGAGCAGTAAGGTAAATATTTTCCTTGAAAACAGAATTTGTGATACTTGATATAGAAAGAGTAATAAGCAAATCTGTCAATCGTGCAAATTACCGTCGACAATAGTAAAACATTAACCTTCAATAAGATTTTAACATAGCTATTTTTAACGATGGGAAAATTTGAATGTGATTAAATATAAAATTAATTAATTTTCTTTATTTAAAGTTTTATCAGTGATATTTTGTATTTCATGAACCGAAGACGTCAAATATTGGATGGTACGCTATTACTGCAGGCAACACAGCCGCCTTGGACAATTTCCGTTCTTACTTCCGGATGAGAGCAGGAAAACTCATCGGAGTGCATGATAAGCTTCGCGCCAAGGCGCACAGACAAAGGCTGGCTGAAATGTCCCGATGCGTGTCGTATTCGTATATTTATTATGTGAATCTGAATTAGTTCGGCAGAAAAGGGCGAATTACCGGAATTCCGATTAACCAGAAGATGCGAGAGGAGTGCTTAGAGAATAGTGATCTTATTTTTATTTACAATCTACAGTCTACTTATATATAAGCACTAACTGTAAATCAATATCCCTGATATATAAGTAATTACTGTAAATCAGTATCCCTGATTCAATGAAATAAAAATAGAATATCAATATTAGTATCATATCACTGTTGATCTAAGCAGCAGAAGCGTTGCTAAGTTGAAATTATGATGACTCCTTTTTGACTCCATCATGTGCAATAAAAAAACTTTTTAACTGTGAATTAATTAGTGCATTCATCACACAATTATTTAAAGAAATGTACTGTGCAATTTACTCATTTTGTAATTTTTACGAAACCATTAAATTCCTGTCTATCGAAATTTTCCTTCGTACAAAAACCGATACTTATAATAGATAAATTCACACCAGAAATAAAATATTTAAGAGTACAAGTGTGTAGTTCTTCAAACAATATGCAAACTTGTAGGCAACACACTTGTAGGGTTATAGCGATATTCACCGAACATTAAAAATACGTAGTATGTCCACTAACCCGATTATTTCAGAGAAGGACCACTGAGTGTCAAAAGACAACTCTAGGAATGTATCACGTGCGAAACTAATATGCATAATATTCCGTTCACGACTTCCCAGAATCTCTCTCACGACCAGAATGGTTCACTTTGGCCATCACTGTATTGTGCCACTACCTGTTCAAGAAAGTATTCGCCTTCATGTTTTAATGACGATAGCGTTAGATGACGATCGCGTTGCATCTGATGACCAAAATTCCAATACGTAAAAAGAAACATTGATATAAATGTAAAATCATTACACCTTACGTGATGAAATATCGCAAGAGGCAAGCAAAATATAAACATGTAAATTATGGATTAATATTAGAACATTTATTCCCAAAGTAGGTACCCCCCCCCCCGAAGGGATGCGTAAAGACAAGTCAGAGGGGGGCGCGGAGGCCATCGAGCCGGGATACACTCGAACATTCCCGAGGACTTGGCGCGATAGGAAGATATTCATTTTGTCAGAGTTGCCTCGTTGAATTGTATGATTTGTAACTGAAATGTATGATTTGGAGTGAAAAGATGTTGTTCAAGATAAACTCAGTGAAAAACGCTAGTATAACAATAAGTATATTAAATATGAGCTTATTTGCATGCTTAAGGATGGCGTCAAACATCCTCAGTGTGTTATTTGCTATGTAGTATTGAGCAGTTTGTGCAAGAAAGCGTTTTCAGCACTTGTTGCAATAAAAGCAAAGTATCAGGGCAAACTTGACCTTGCGAATTATTTACGTTGTGCACTGATACTCAACAAAGCATAGGGAATCTCGTAAAAGATGCAACCTCATCCTCTCACTAATTTTTCTTGCCCCGTTTAATTTAAATTTCAACTCGTAATATTAATTAGGCATAAATCGTATTGCAGTTTTTTGTCCTAACCTAAAATAACGAACATTTTAACAAGAGGTCTAAAAAACGTAATTAATTTGAAAAAAAGTGTAAAATAAAAATGTATTGTTAATCCATGTAACATTTGTTTTATTCATTACCAAATAAAAATGTGCAAGTGGGCGCGGGATGTTTTACTATTGACAGATGGGGGCGTAGTTATAAAAAAATGTTTGGGATTTAGATAAGTATCTGGTGAGTAATTGACAGTTGTAAATGTTAGTGGTTATCATCAGTTCGAACTTTGAGATGGAACTGTTTAACAGGCACTTTATGAAGGCACAAACTTGGGACGAAATATACATTAATTAAAACTTTCCGTGTGAAAACGTTTACCACAAATATCTCCGAAAATACATCTTGTGAGCTACCAGATCGACTTTCCAGTTTAAAATATTTATAGGGAGACTTTAAAGCTTCCTCTTCTAAATTTCACAAATATTTGCAGATGACGATGAGCAACTCTCGTAAAAATCACAGAACTGCTATGTAAAGCTTTATAATGAAAGTCTTGAGTGTCCGTCGATTAATTAGTTTTGTTATGACGTATTTGTTCTACCTGATAGTTTATAGATTAAAGTATGTTGAAAAAATTTAAATTACGATTGATTTTTAAATAAACAAATCTTAATTAATAGAAGCCTCTATCTAACTAACAAGCCTTACACAGTTAATACACCTCTATCCAACATACTACGTTACTCTTCGTCTTCTTTATAGTACTCATGCCATATCTTTCTTTTCCCTTGAATCCGCATTGTTTTGAGCAGGAACACAATGCAACAAAGGAAAGGGGCGAAACATTTGTGGAATTGTTTTGAAGTGTCAGAAATTGCATGAATTTCTTCACGTTTAAAAAATCAGTTTAATTCATAAAACTTAATTAGAGTTTTCATGTAGGGAAATATAAATGTATCTATTGTTCACAAAATTTGTCATTTACATTCTTTGTAAGGAAATTTAAAAGAAAACATACACTACGTGGATTGTGCTATCTTAACGTCATGAAATTCTGAAAAAAAGAATCTCATTCCAGAATCAACTGTGATCTCACTAGCTGAAGGAAGTAAAGTCTGGCGGATTTTCAAATTCTCACAATGGCCTATTAGAGAGGAAAAGGAATTAGGCGTTCCCCCCTTCCCCTCCCAGATCTCCCCCAACCGTGCCCCTTCCGCCTCCTCGAATCCGCCCGCCTCGCAATTCGAAATGCCCACAGGCACTGCGTGTTGCAGTGGCATTAAACCTAAAACACATGTTTTAACTTTTTTTAAATTTAAGGTCGCATTAACAGCTAGGCCGTTAGCGACCACTATAGATTAACGATGGGGTTAACTGTATGATGTGCTCTGGTGATGGTGAGGGGTGAAAGGATGAACACAAAACAATCATGCTCGAGGCAGGACTCGAACACGCGATCCTTCGGTCCGAGATCGTTAGGCAATGCTGCCTCAACGATCTCGGCCATCTGCAGTAGTTTTTCCTCTCTGTTGATACGACAACTAGCCACTTATTCTCTTCCAGTTCGGCATTGCCGCTGGGTCGAATGTGCCGATTGACCGGGAGTTTCTAGGGTTTGAGTTAGGAAGGAGAGATATTTTTAACTAGCTCTATAACGGGGTCGATTTGAGCAGCTGTCTGGAAGAGAATTCTAGTGGGGTGCTGATGAATTGATATTTCCTTGAACTATCCTACTCCCTACATACCCACACAAATAAAAAAAAAGACGAAAAAAACGAATCTTTGATTTCAGGTATACTGAGAAACTTTTGATAATTCGAAAAACTTTATTCGAAATCATTTAAAGAAATAATTTGTGCTGATTAAAGCGAGATAGAGGGAGGGAGAGAGTTTAAAGAATTTAATATATGCATTTCTTTGACTAGTCAAAAGTTTTTATCAAGACATTGCTGATGATATGTGATTTAGTGCATAGTACTCTATCAGAACTAAAAGTTAAAATAAAAATTGGAGTAGTTTTTGATAAAGTTTTGTTTACATATTTTTTTAGTATCCACGCACAACTCAACATTACGAAATATCTACTAATATTAAAAAAATACATGACAATATTCAAAGTTCTAATTTTGAAGAACGGATTCCATGAGGAGAAGCGGCCTTATTTCCAATTACGTGGTAGTAGGATGGGGTCAAAAATATTAGTTTTCGAAACTTCAGACATATAAATATGTCACAGATTCGATTTTTATTTAAAAGTGAGCCGTTTTTTAAGAAATTTGAAAAAAGGTCATTGGCGTTTTATATAAAGTGCTCTCAAAATTAAAATATCCGGTTCATATTGGAGGGGCCGTGGAGGCTAGATCGGTCGAGGATTCTAGGAAATCTATTTTGGAGAATATTCTGTGAACGTTTTAGGCACTAGTAATGACCAGACAGACAGGCAGTCAAGCAGACAGAGAGACAAACAGATGTTTTGCCTGTCATGACAAACACAATTTTTCCGAAATCAGTGACCCTCAAATAGAATTTTATGTCGTAAAATATCACTTTGCGCTGTAGCATTACAAATACTTTCCTGTACTAAGTAACAGTTTACAAGAAATTTAAAAAATGGAAATAACATTAACATTGCAAATACTACTAAAAATATGTGAAATTGTAGCACCACTCATTTCTAACTTAATTTGAACCGGTGTCAAGTTTTAAAATGTATTTTAAAAAACACCACTTTAAATTTCAGTTGTTTTAAAATACATTTACTAATTAATATTCTACCTATGAGAATCATATTTGAACACGTTTAAACATTTTTTGATCCTGGATCCAAGGAGGAAACGACCCCTTACCCTCATCCTCCTGTACCGCCCTGGTTGCATAATAATAAAAAATATAGGAGTTAAGAAGCGCCTGTAATAGGAAGCGAATTTTGTATGCCCTAAAAATTTTGAAATACGCTTCTTAAAATGTGCATTTATGATCTAAATATTGTGAAATATGTATTTTAATATACAATTACAATTAACAATATTTCATGCCCTGTATAAACCTTTCTTGTTACAATTCAGGAGTATGTTGCTTGGAATGGAAAAGCTGCATTTTTGTGTGCTCCCTAGTGATTAATGTGTGTAAAGTACTTTGCATGTGCTTGTCCCGTAACCCTTGTTTGTGTGTCGCAGGGTTGCCGCCGCCGGCGCCGCCACCGCCGCCACCGCCGCCGCCATGGTGATCGTGACGAGGGTGAGTAGCCGCGGGGGGCGCGTCCTGGATCGGCGCGCGACTGGCCGACTTCCGCCGGGAAAGCGGGCAGCCTCCGCCGCCGCCGCACGCTGGGGCGACGTCTCAAAGAGCCGGCCACAAGTCCAAAACAAAAGGTTTTATTCAGGGGATTTTAAGCAAGCAGTTGGGCAGACTGGTTCCCAGAGGGTGTGCTTCCTCCGCTAGAGAAGGTCCGAGGCGTCGCGGTGACGTTCTGCTTCATTGCAAACATGGCCGTTGAGCGAGCAGCTGTTTTCGGTTTTGAGCAATTTTCGTCATTCGAAATGGACGGAAATCATGATGGTGAATACAATGTTTAGATATATTACACATACTTAAAACACATGTTTAAATTACTTAAAGAATAATTAATATTAAAACAAAATGATACAATTGATATGTTGGTTTTTTTAGAGGAAAACTATTGTAAATTCAATAGAGTTCCACAACGAAATTTGTAAAAACTTTAAGTCTCTAGTACTTAGCTCTTGAAATGTCGAAATAAAGCTGCTATTAGCTCCTATTCTGCATTTCAGGCACAACTTTTTTTAAACTTTTTAATTTTTTAATCTGCTATATTGGATCCATCATTTTGTTTTGTGCCATGTTAACATTGGAATCTCAATCAGCGAACCTATACCCAGCCCTGTTTACAAATTTGTATTACAATCGAAAGATGTTTAGAGTTTTTTAAATTTTTAATCCTTTGTATTGGATTCGCCATTTTTTGGCAATTTGGTATTGGAATCGTGCCTAGAAGCAGTGGTATACAAAGCGTCGTTAAATTTAGCAAACGTTTCCATGTTTTGGCCAGCTTTTCGAGACCGCGCCCCACCGTGCGCCGCCGCCTTCGCACGCGTGGGCTGTGTCGCGCACGTCGGCGCGTTGCCGCATCAGCAGCGGCGGCGGCAGGAGCAGCCACGCACAGCACGCGGGCCGCGCTCGCCTCTTTTAATCTTTTTTCGATTTTTTCTCTCCTTGGTGCCGAACTGCGAGTTTCCTTGTCTGGAGCAAGCTTCAAAGGCGTTTCGTTTCAATTAGTAGTGGTTCGGTGAATGTTTTTGAGAAGAGAGTCTAACAATAGTGAATGATAGAAAGTGAACAATTGAGGTCATTTCTTGAGAAAAAAATAAATTTTAACGTACGTATGTTAATTTTTGTGGTTTACTGTAATCGCTTGTCAGGTAATTAAATAATACCTAACATTCTTACGAGTGGAATTGTATTTCGAATTAATCTGTAATATTAATTTAGCAGAAGTTTCGCTCATTAGAAATATTTTGTGTCACAAATGACGTACATCGCAATATCACAGTCCTGAAATGTTGCACTACACGTTTACTTGAATCCCTTCTAAGAGCACGTATTACAAGAAGACTTACACTTTTGAAACCTGGCTATCTAGCTGTTGTGTTCTTACTTTTTTAGTGATATGGACAAAAGATTCTCGTAATTCAAATCGAGGTCAACTTGCTGTGTTGCGCGAATTGCTTAAGAAAAAAGTGGAATCCACTGTTTCCATGCAAGCTTTACGTGAACTTCATCACTATTCAAAGGGTTGGGTGAAGTAAGTCTCCAGGTATTGTTTGTTGCCTGTGGTCGCCGTCTCCTTAAGTCACGATCGGACTCGACGCGGCTGTTTTTCTCGCAACAAACATCGTGCGCGCCTTGCCGTCGCTTGCAAATGCCCTCCCGCGCCTTAGCGTTAAGCTGCGACCAGGACATTCGCGGAATTTTTTTTTTCTTTTCTGTATTTAGGTTGCGATATCTTTCATGACATTTATTTTTAATTGTTATTTCGTTGATGAATAAACGACATTGTAGGTATATATTGAATTGTAAAATTATTTATGGATGTCTAGTAGTTAAAGTTAAATTATAAATCATTTTAAGGGCATTTTTTGTAATACACATTAGACAACTTCACTGCAATATAGTTTTTTTTAACTTTCAAATACCATTTATAAGATAATTACTACATGAAAGTAGGTACAAAAAGTATTCGTATATCTGGTTTATATTTTTCTTTTAAAATGTATGTAATGTATTTTTTATTTCGAATTAAGTGTTGATGTAAAATATGGTTTAATTAGTTTGTCGCGAACTAAATAAGAAAAGGAACCTACAAACAGAGGTAACACCGATGTAAACAATATACGATTAAAAATTGACAAGAGAACGTAAATAATTCCTGATTTTACTACCCAATGCCTCGAGTAACAAATGAAGCTTTAGTTATTAGAGAATAACGCAGTGCATTTTGCTTCAAAATAAAACACGTTTTAGAGAACAATTGCCTTGCATTTTTCTCGTTTTTTCTGAATACAGAAATATTTCGATGTACTTCGACCGGGAGAATTTTTTTCTGTCGGTTTACTGCTCTCTTGCTCGTAACACTTATTAATATTTTCTTTTTTTTTTTCCTTTCACAACAGTGCCGGTCTAACAAAAGTAACTTTAATTTGCGTACGTGAATACAATGCGACTATAATCTCGCAAGCATTTATGTTGTGCTGTTACTAGTGTAAAACCCTAACAGTGTTTTCTTTCCCGCATAGCTGCATTTTGATTGAGCGTGAGAGTATTTAGGAGAGAGATGTCACGTGTGCGTACACATATCTGTGTGCCCAAATGATGAAGTACTCGAGAAGTCACAGAAACACTTTCGGTGAAACGCCTTTCCCCGGACACTTTCCTTTTGTGGCGACGACATAAATAGGCTCTCATTAGTGGCACAGGCTCTTGCACCCGCTATGTTCCCGTGTTTGCGCTGAGCATCTTCCTTCTCGTTACATTTCTATCCGGATTTTGCCTCTAGGAATTTCCAGTGGCAAGTTGCGACTTCTTTTTTGAAGTTCACGACATGTCCGCTCGTAAATATGTCTCGAGAATAACGCGTAGATATTGAGGAAGAAACAGGTTTGTGTTTACGAGAACGTGTCATTCCCGAAGAAACAAACAAGTGATAGTGAAACATAAAGTATCAAAGGGTTTTTCATTCATAATAAACACGTGTAGATTACTGTCTATCTGCTTCTGTTTCCTTCTAAATGTGTTGAAACAATGCAAAGATAGAAAGGTATCTTCCTGAAACTATTGCTGTACATCTTCAAAATACGAATAGCGCTTCTATTCAAAATGAAAGGGTGAAATCGTTTCATAACTATATTTATATGCATTTTAAAAACAGAACAATTAGATTCATCATGAATAGGGCTGTGATTTATATGCAATAAAAACAGTGCAATGTGCGCATATATGTAAATGTATTAGGTAATATATGCAATTAACAAAGGAAAATATGCGAAATAGTGTAATGTGTAAGTGTAAAAATAAAAGTGTAATGTTGAAAATATGTTCTACATTTACAGAAAAAAAACGGTACAGAAATAATATAAATTGTTACAAAGCGACAAACATTAAGTGAAGGGGTTAATTTTGAAGAACACTCATTTCTTAGGAAAATAATGGAAGATGAAGTTAATGTACAGTTCCCAAAATATTTAGGTATTTAAAAAAACGACTTCCTCTCAATTCACGACAAATTCGCGGGTCTGACTCTTTTAGCACCACTTGAGGTTTGCTCCGTGTGTGGGCTCTCACAGGCGCTCGGCGGATGCACATTTCATTTCGAGTGATACTTTCGATGAAAGGTATTGCCGATGAGTGGTCTCAGCGTGCTTCTCGAGCGACGTCATACGAGTCGGGCGAGCGGCAACGCTGATCCGTGGCTATGACAACGTAAACAAACCCTCGGAAGCCCAGTGCTTCAGAGCAGCTCGCAAGATGTACCGTAGCAAGTGGCGAGGGAACTGTCAGAGCCGCTCACAAGCTGACGGAACTGTACCTTTTAGGATTCTTTCCGCGGATGAAGGGTGAATATGCAAATATGATTCAATTATGCACTTATGGTGATATATTAAAAAAATATGCGAAATAAAAATAGCTTAAATTGATTCTAAATGCCTCAAAACGTACTTAATTTGTTGAAAAGGGATGTTTTAGTTAACAGAAAAAGCATGCAAATGCATATAAATCTCAGCCCTAATCATGAATTATTAACGGTAGTAGTAATCGATATACTTAATTTAAAACAGTAAATTCATAAGTCGCTGAATGAACAACCTAATCCAACATCTCCAATATTGAGTAACGTCACTGAAAACTACATATACAATACATACACTAAACAGCAACCTGAGTATGAGACTCGCTTAAGTGAGTTACAGGAGAAGTGGCATCAGACGGTTTTTAGATAATATAGAGATGGAGAACAAATGAATTTCCTAAAATAAATCAAGTGCTCTTCAGCGTGGAATATTTTACTGCAAAAGGAATGACGTCAACTTAAATTACAGAGTGATGTCGGAAGTTGGAATCCGTACACTGTCAAAGCAGCGCTCCGTTTACTTCGAGAACAAAAGCGCGCGCTGGAAAGAAATGCCACTTCGCTCGCCAGCGCCGAGAAGCAAAGCGAACAGGGAAGAGTTACAATGCCTCACAGACATACTCTGGCTCCAATTGATTGATTATTTTGTGCTTCCTGCACGTCATCCGTTACGGTCATTAGTCCTGTGAGTGTAATGCATGCTGTGTATTCTAAAGGTGACGTCGTTCATTCCCCCTGGAAAGTAACATCCGACGCCGACCTACACGTCGACTTTCCCCTCGAGGTGTCACCGCTAGGGGCATCGTCCTCGCTGGGCCTGCTCTATGACCCCGACAGGCCTTCCGTGTGGAAGAGTTCTTCTGTACGTGTGTGTGTGTGTGTGTGTAAGTAAGAAGTGAGAATAGGTCAAAGAAGAGGAAAGGAAAAATCGCTGTGAGGCGAAGTGGTCCGTGGTCCGTTTTTTAGGGTGTTGCTCCGGCATTCACCTGATATAGATCGAAGAAACCACAGAAAACTACCGATCAGGACATCCGGCCGTTAGAATTATCCTCCACACAGCAGGCTTGTACCAAACAGTGCAACAGTTGTCGTC